AGAACCCTGTTGAACAGAACAGGATCTTTTACATAACCTGTATTCTTGCTATGGGAGCCCCCGGTGGTCTAGGGGAAAAGACACTGCACTGTCACTGCAGAGACCTGGGTTCGATTCCCGGTCGGGGCCCCTCCCCGGGCAGATGGAGCTCGTTAGCCCTGTAAGGCAATCCATCTACATCCTGAGGACCTCGCTGCCACCGTCCAAGCGTGCTTGGCCCCGGCAGATGAACCTCAGGATTAAAGGGTGGGCTCAGTTCCGCACACACTGTGTCTCACCTAAAAAATCCAATGCGCAGGCTGGAAGGTGGAAAGACCTTCCCCGGTTCTTTGTTCGCGAAGAGACTGGCCATAGATAGATTCTTGCTATGTAAGTCAAAGAAAAGTATGTACTTTTTTTCACATGTACAGCACAACACAGTATTTTTCAAAGATGCACTTATCTGTAAGAAATTAAAATTCATGTTCATGCATTGAAGCATATACAGCATATACATAGCATAAACCAGCTTTACTCACATGGTAACAAGGAAACTGCCCAATAGGCTTTAGGTCTTGGAATCAGAAAGTGGCTCTTTTTTGGAAGAGAAAGCTTCAATGTGTCACATGCCTGGGAAAGTTGCTTTCCTTTGTCTTTTAAAACTGCCCTTGGGAAAGAAAACTCAGTCAGAAAGATGGCAATGATACTCCAAAGGTGTGATATGTGGCAGCATTTGAGTAACACAAAAAAACAAATCTAGTCTTACAGCGTAAACTAGCCAAAAATATAGGGAAAAAGTTATTGGACTTATGACTTCCTGAACATCTAAAAAACGTATTGAGAACTTTTTACATGTATGGTATAAGCTACCACTGTAGGAGTTGTGATAAGTAGAGGAACCGGTTTTATTCCAAGCAAATTAAAATAAACAGAGGGTACTAACAAAAGAATTATTTTTGTGTATCTACTAACTTATAGGCGTACTGTGGAAGCTGTAAGGTGAAGGGTTCTGTCTGGACCTAACACCAGGGAATCTTTTGCGGCCGGGAACAGGGAACAAGTTATAAATAAAAATGTATTCCTCTGTGCCATGTGGATACAAAGAGAGGCCCTCCATGCCTTGCAATATGGGGATGATGCAAGACCCCCCTGTACCAGCCCAGGGGAGATAAGTTACAACCAGCCAAAAGGTAACACCCACCTCCAAAGCAGGGAAATTACCTTTTAAGGCAACAAACGGACAATGAATGAATATTCAAAACTAATATCGAAGGGTACAAAAAGCACAATTTTCAAACAACGGTGTGCTCTCTTTGTATGATTTAGAGGTGCACCCAGTGCTGAAAATGGGTACCCAGCACTGTAATAAAAATCTCTGGCTATATTTCTTTGTCCTGCAGGTATTTTTGCTGTCTTCAAAATTCAAGAAAAGAAGTAACTTATAACAGGAGTGTTGTCCTAAGTTTTGTCTGTGCCTATGTTCATAGAGATACACCTGACAAGAGCAAAAAAGATCTCCTTCCTCTCACTTGTAGCACCTTCAGATCCACTCGCAGTTATGCAGCTTTCTCACTCCCCTTCTCCTCACATCCATCTTTGACTCTCACACAGAACAAATCCCTGCCCTTTTCATATTGGCAAGGAGATGTGCTGTTCTTGCAGCAGCAACATTGTCAAGAAAGCGAACAAAATAACAGTTGTACAAAAAATAGTTGTTCAAAGGTGTAACACAGCAGTGTAAAGGTGATGTAAAATGTACCTCGAGTGAGAGTTGCCATCTGCAAACAGTAGAAGCTTATGAGCAGTTCTAAAAGTTTTCAGTGTTGAGATTTCATTTCACAAACACATTTTATCATGAGGAATAAAAATCTGGCAGGGCCATTGGTTTCATTTAACCTAAAAGGTCTGATTTAGAATGCTTTCCTTCCAAGAAATGAATTTAATAAACTTCAGCTGCCTGATTTCTCTTTACATATTGTTTATGTGAATGGCATAAACTACACAAGATTTACAAGGCTGGTGCCATGCTCTGTATTGCTCCATGGAGCAGTAGTTGTCAACTCCAAGGTCACAGCTTTATTAAAGGATTAAGATTTACAATAACGTTAAAAAGAGCATGAATGCCTTCATAGACACCTTCCTATAGTTTACTTCCCTGAGGTCATCTGCACAATTTCTCCCCCTGCCAAGGCTACTAATCAATAAATACTGAGGTCTCCCAAACAAAGTTCACATGGATCTGTCATATTGCTTTAGTAATAAATCTTTGTTTTTGTTTAACACCTGCCTTCAAAAGACATAACCCTCTTCTGCTGCAGCAATTCATTTAACTTTATAACAGCCTTATTTGGTGATTAAGACCTGCTCCCTTTTTACAGACTGAGAAACTGCAGCATAAGGACATACGTTGCTGAAGTCATACAAGAAGAGTGAAAAGACTTGGAAGCTTATATCTGTCAGCCTCTCCTGTGCTGAAGCTGAAAGCCATGCTGTCTCTCTCCCAAAGAGTAACACAAGGTGGTGTGTAGCATCTGAACAGAGGCTTCAGTAATTCTTGCTTTAATGTACTGTCATGGCATGGCTAGGGTGCACCTGCTGATATACAGCTGTGGTGTGGTCCTAGCTGACACACATACACACAAGAAACATTCTGCAGGCTGTTTACTATTTAAGGGGTAGTTCCGTGTTTCTTCTGGCTGTACCTGCAGTGTTGATGAGGCTACTGCCACCAATTGCCACTCATTACTCATCAAGCTTACTCACATCTACCAGTCTGGCTTCCTGCTTGATTTCAGGAAAGAAGATATTCGATCACTTTAAATAACAGGGTTTTTTGCCAGCCTATGAACAGCTCAGCAAACCCTCAGCAGCAGTGGTGAGTGCAGGGGAGCAGTAACCTCCTGAGCTAGCACAGCCACAGTTACCAGAGGACGTCTTTCCACAACACCTCAAATTCTAGGCCTGTCCTCTTCTGGCCAGAGAATTCTGTCTTTTCCACAGAATTTTCTCCTGACTTAAAGCATGAGCAGCAAACATTCCAGCCCAGACGACCTAACTCACTTCGGGGCCAAGGCTTTGAATGTGCTTCCCTTGGTGTTTCACATTCACAGGTACCTAGAGGTATGCAAATTTTGTCTCTATGTGGTCTAAAAAGAAGGTATTTAGGGCAGTCACTGCCTTTTGTTCTGCTGTCTCTGCTTTTCCTTGGGAAGACAACAGCAGTAATAGCTAATAGTTATTGTGACTGATACTGAACAAAACCAGAGAAAGCAGCCTTTGCAGAATAAATCACAGGATGGTTAACCTCTCGTCCTCATCTGAAGAGACATAAGCTTCAGCTTCATTCTCAGCAGTTCCCTATCTTCCCTCCAAACAATGATCCCAGATGTGCTGTGAGCATTGCCTCTTGCTGCCGATCACAGATGTCTGAAGCATTTAGTGTTTCACTCAGTTTTGAAATACTGGAGGCTGAACACATATATGAACCACAGGTATTAAGAGTTTTGCACTCTCTCTTCCACAAAACTCCAACTTCAGGCTAGAGAGGAGGATCTCCCCATCTAGAGTTCTCTGAACATCTAGCTATGGTATAGACAGTTGCGGTCCCAAGGAAAAAGGGGAAGCTAAGGTGAACACGCATTTCTTTTCAGACCTCACATTGGAACAGGTTGCCCACAGAAGTAGTGGATGCCTCATTCCTGGAAGTGCTCAAGGCTGAATGGCGCTCTGAGCAACCTGAGCTAGTGAAAGGTGTCCCTGCCAGTGGCAGAGGGGCTGGAACTAGATGATTTTTAAGGTCCCCTCTAACACAAACCATTCTATGGTTTTATGATCTTTGTTATATAGTGCAAGAGACCAGGCCTAGCCTGAAGCTTAGATTTATTATAATTACAACCTTCACTAATTAATATAATTGATATACTCTCTACAAATCCATTTCTTCTTAAAGCATTTCCAATATTTTGTTTATTGTTCATATGCCAAGAGTTAGGTCCAAAGGAGGTCAGTGCTTAACGGGTCCAAAGTCTTTTCTACCTGGAGAAATCTATGTAGAACCTATACTGCTAGATCGAGATTCTTAAAATTCCTTATCTTGGAAGAAAAGCACACAGTCAGACTGATGGAATTTTTTATTTTATTTTTTTTTTTTGGTCATGATCTTGCCCCAAATATCAGTAATACTACTAAAACTACTGCATAAAATCACTGCTAGTACCAGTCACAGAATCAATTAGGTTGGAAAAGACCTCTGAAATGATCGGGTGCAACCCACGACCGAACACCACCTTGTCAGCTAGACCACGACACTAAGCGCCACATCCAGCCTTTCCTTAAACACCTGCAGGGATGGTGACTCCACCACCTCTCTGGACAGACCATTCCAATGTCTAATCACCCTTTCTGGGAAGAGATTCTTCCTGTTGTCCAACCTGAATCTCCCCTGGCGGAGCTTGAGGCCATTTCCTCTCATCCTGTAGCTTGTTGCCTGGGAGAAGACATCGAACCCCACCCGGCTACAACCTCCGTTCAGGTAGTTGTAGAATGATAAGATCTCCCTCGAGCCTCCTTTTCTCCAGGCTAAACAACCCCAGCTCCCTCAGCCGCTCCTCACAGGACTTGCGCTCCAGCCCCTCCACCAGCTTCATTGCTGTTGTCTGGACAAGTCGATCTAGAAATAAAGGGAAAACAGGGCGGAGGCGGTTTCCCCGTGCAGAGGGCAACTGCGAACGCCGCTGTTTTGTTGCGCCCCGGCCGCCTTCGGCAGGCAGGCAGCGGGGCGGGCGCGGCGCGCTGGGCGGAGCGGGGAATCCTCCCGGACAGGGCGGAGCGGGGCCGGCCCGCCGTGCCGTGTCGTAGCGGCGCCGCCGGGCCGGGAGGCGATCGCCATGGAAACCCCGGCCCCGCCCCTGCCCCCCCGGGTGCCGCCGGGAGAGCGGCCGGAGCCGCCGCGTCCCTGCTCCCCGAGCGGCGCCAGGTAGAGCGCGGGGCGGGGGCTCCCCCGGGCCGGGCCGGGCGGGAGGAGAGGCGAGGGGCGGCTGGTAGAGCGCAGGCCGGGCTCGCTCCGTTCCGCTCCGCCGCCGCCGCCCGGCCGGGGTTCCACCCGGGATCTCCCCCGGTGCCGGGTGCCCCCAGCGATCCGCCCCTGGGCCCCCGGCGGCTCCCCCCGGGAGCAGAGCCGGGCTCTTCTCAGCCCGCCGGGGCGGGGCTTGTTCCTCGTCCCCGCTCCTGCCGGAGAGGCCCTGACGTGTTGCCATGGCCGAGGGGGCCGCGGCGGCCCCGGCGTGCTTCAGCGAGGATGATTTTTACTGCCCGGTGTGCCAGGAGGTGTTCAAAACGCCCGTGAGGACCGCCAACTGCCAGCACGTGTGGGTATCCCGGCCCCCCGCCCCTTCCCAAGCCTTTTCCTCACCGCCTCCGGCTCTCCACCCTGTGCTCCTCTGCTTCCCCCCCCCCCCCCCCCCCCCCCCCCCCCCCCCCCCCCCCCCCCCCCCCCCCTTCCGCCGCTCAGACCCTCGGCCTGGAGCCTCTGGCTGTGGGGATGACGAGCCCAGTGCTGCCCCAGCCTCTCTTCTCCTCTTTCCTTTGTAGCCGACGAGGACCGGTCACTGAGGAAAAGCCCTCGCGGCGGTCTGGTCGGTGGCGGGGGAGTTTCACTGTACCCTCTAACCTAACTCGCGTTTTTTTTCCACTTCATGGTTTTCCTCGTTCCTTTTCGAACAAGGACTGTAGTATGAGTTGTTCTTTCTTTTCAGCCCGTCTATTCAGCATTTTTTTTTCCAGAGGAACGCTTGGTTACAACGTGCTACTTCGTAGAAAAGCAAAACAGTTTCGGCAGCTGGTGCGTGAGGAAAAAGAGAGCTGCAAAAGCTGGTGGACTGAGGTCTCTGGAAACCCGTGCTGAATGAAGCTTTGCAGTGTTTTTGATTCTGCTTAAGGACAATAAACAGGAATTCCTCTGATAAGATTGTCCAATGTCAGGTGCATGCTGCACCATTTAATATCTTAATTAATGATCAATCTGGTGTGCAGCTCGTCATACTAGTCAATAAATAATGAGAGCTTTACCTAAAGTGCATTGCCAAGTTCCCCTAATTTCCATATTCTTCTTCATAAGCACCGTCGTTTCATTTTTCTTATAAATATTTGAATTCAGTAGACCATTACTCTGATATATATCTCTTTTTTTCCCTAACAATCACCTAGCTCTCTTCAAGGACAAAGTATCTGTTCATTTTGCTCACCTTTGTTTGTGGTAACTTTTTAATTTAGATTTTGCAGAAAGTGCTTCTTGACAGCTATAAGAGAAAGTGGAACACATTGTCCTCTCTGCCGGGGGAGCGTGACTAAAAAAGAAAGAACGTATCCCAAAAGGGCTCTAGATGTTGAAAACAGTATGAAGAAAGCTTCTGGGGGCTGTAGATGCTGTGAGAAGCAGGTAGAGTAAAACTTTAAAGAAAAGTTGAATAAATTTTACTTATTTTTGTCCAGACACGCTTTTAGTATGTGTCATTCTTGTCTTGGGGCTAAAGAGCCTATAGCAGTTTGAACTTAGCTTTGTATGGCTTGTGCATATACGAGACATGTAGTGCCTAGCTCTACCTAACAGATGTAAACTGAAAGAGGATCTTGAATTGTCAATAAAGGCATTTTTAGTGGAGCGCCAGTTTTTCCAAAAAAAAGATGGGAAAACTGGATATAGCTATAAAACTGGCAAAAGAAAAGTTAGGAAGATGAACATGAAAGTTGCAGATACATGGAAAACCTCAGAAACTTTCAGTATGGAGATGAAAGTGCTTAGAACTGCTATAAAATTTAATTTAAAACAAATGATAAGAGTGGCTTGATTACTTTCAGTGCTGATACAATAATATGTAACTTCCTCCTTCCCCATCAGTCTTTTTACATTCCATTTATTTCCCTTGTCAGGGGGTTATTATTTTCAGAACATTAGGTGAAATTTTGACCCCTCCCCCACTCAATCCAAGGGTAATCTTTCTTCTGGTATAAATGAATGCAGGATTTCAGCCACACATTTTGTTTATAACAGGTTGCATCGAACCCAGGTAGTCTTCATGTTTGTTTCGTTTCACCTGGGACTCATTTCTGCCAGTGTGAAGATTAGTACTAGTTGAAACCTCATCTGCTTGCCTTGTTCCATGTGATTCATTAGGATGAAAAGTGGGGAGAAAGAAACTGATAGGAAGTTAGTAAACTGGAAGCAAGAACCAAGCAAGAATTTTAATGGAATTCAGGCACAGGCATGTGAGATGTGATCTTGTTCAGCCTCTAAACCTGTGAGCACCTTCTGACAGTGCTGTTGGACCTGAAATTCTGATTTGGGACATGTCCAACACAGCTGTCTTCAGACAAATCTTAGCAACTCGTTGTCCTACCTTGAATTAAAGGTGGATAGGCAGCATTAAGTTGGTGTTCATTCACCTATTTTTTTAACCCTCCCTTCTAAAAGGGAAAAGGAATGCACCTAATGCCAAAAAAAAAAAAAAAAGTTCCTCTGTGTGGGGTAACAGCAGGCCAGAGAAAACTGAAGGAGCAGTGGTGCTTGTCCCATCCTCATGGGCCCTCTTTGTTATAGCTCATCAGTTATTGATCCTGGATCTGGAAGGTGTAGTTCCAGTGACTTTGTTCCAGTTAAATGGCATTTACTCACACTTTTCACCCCTAAGAGAGCCCTCAAACGCCTGGCAGAGTGGGGAATAGAGAGTAGAAGAGACTCTAAGCAAAGAGGAATCAGAGATGTCCTGTTGGTGAAGAATGTGTTTGTGCTCAGTGGGGAGGCACAAGTCCTGGTTTCTGCTACATATGATGTCTACAAAATTCCTGCACGCATTGCTTTCTGTTGGCAGAATTATCTCTTCCTTCTATCCTTGGATTGTTCAGTATGATTTCAGTAATTTGGCATTTCATTTTCAGGTTAGATTTTCGTGGATGAGACAGCATTATAAAACCTGTAAGAAGTATCAGGATGAATATGGTGTTTCTTCAATTATTCCAAACTTACAGATTTCCCAAGATTCAACAGGGAACAGGTAATCAGGGTGTTCTGTGTATAACAATTCATCTTCTTCTTTCCCCACCCCGCCTGCCCATGGGAAGTATTTTTTTCCAGGGAATTCCTTCTTTTTGCAGTAATTCTTGTCCCTATTTTTGTGTTTCAAATATGAGTTTTTCCAGGTCTTTTTTTTACTCTTAGCAGACAGAAGAAAACCTTTCTGCATGATGGCTTTGAAATGTCTTGTAGAGACTCTCCTGAAAAGTATTTAGTATTTGTAGCTTGCTTTCCTTGCCTTAACAGCATTTGAGCAGCTTACTTTGTAACATCTTTCATAATATTTACCTCCGGGGAAGTTCCTGTCTATTTTTATTCCCCCTCCCCTTCCTAAGTTTGTTTTAGTGGCTATCCTGTTTCAAAACATTACTGTGCAAGCCTTTGCTTTCTGATTGAATTTATTTTGAATAGCTCTCTTATGAAATGTGTAAGGAACTCCAGTATGTTACACACCATAAAATTAAATGACACTTTTACCACTTGTTTTCAGGCAGTAAAGCTAAAGAACTTTTTTTTTCATACATTCTCACTCATGGTTGGGGTTGGGGATTTTCAGTTATTTTTGAAGAACTTTTTTTACATACTAGTTTCACAGAGCTTTTTTATATATATCCTGTCCTTTATTTACTTTGTTTTGCCATCAATTTTCTATTTTTAGCAGACTGAACTTCTCTGTTTGGTTTTTAACCCATCAGTATATTGAAAGTTGAAGCTCTTACCAGAATTAGCTGCAGCAATGTTTCACCAAAGTGTCTGGATATTATTATGTCACTATTTACTGAGTATGCCACAGTAGAATACCCAAGCTTATAATATCACAGATGTATAAAAAAAATTTACCGTGACCTTATCTGTGACTGTAAATATTCATCTTCTTAGTAAGATCAGCATGTTTGGACAGTTTCTTCTGGCTTAGCTAGAGGTGCATATACAGTCAAATTTATTTTCCAAAATGCTTCTCTCTGTTACTCTTACTTTAGGAAATAAGTTTGTTTTGTGCTCAGCATAAGAAAAGTTTCCTTGTTGTAGTTGAAAGTTGTAAATTATTTCTGTAAACACATGGCAGTTAAATCCTAAGTCAAAAGACTTAGTGCTGCCTATCTTACATTCATGTAGTTCATAATGGTTTTTGAGTTACTTGGCTGCCATCTCCATTACCATTCTTGTTGACTAAATGTTTGTTGTATTAGATACCATTTTCCTATAAAGTTGCGTGATATTCCACCGAGGATCACCATGGTAACTAAATTATCCAGAGAAGTTCGAGTTGACTGCAGATTTGCAAATGTGATGCCCATCTACAAGAAGGATCAGAAGAATGATCTAGGGAGCTCCAGGCCTGTCAGACTGACCTTGGTGCCGGGGAAGGTCATGGAACAGATCATCCTGAGTGCCATCATGTGGCATGTGCAGGACAACCAGGGGATCAGACCCAGCCAACATGGGTTTATGAAAGTCAGGTCCAGTTTGAGCAACCTGATCTCCTTCTGTGACAAAGTGACCCACTTAGTGGATGAGGGAAAGGCTGTGGATGTTTTCTATCTAGACTTCAGTAAAGCATTTGGCGCTGTCTTCCACAGTATTCTCCTGGAGAAGCTGGCAGCCTATGGCTTTGGACAGGTGCACTGTCCTCTGGGTAAAAAAAGACTGCCTGGATGGCTGGGCCCCGAGTGTGGTGGTGAGTGGAGCTACATCCGGTTGGCAGCTGGTCACGAGTGGTGCTCCCCAGGGATCAGTTTGGGACCAGTCCTGTTTAATATCTTTATGGATGACTTGGATGAGGGGAGCAAGTGCACCCTCAGTCTATTTGCAGATGACACCAAGGTGGGTGGGAGTGTTCATATGCTGAGGGTACAAAGACTCTGCAGAGAGACCTTGACAGGTTGGATCAATGGGCTGAGGACAAACTGCAAAAGTTTCAACAGGGTGAAGTTCCAGGTCCTGCAGTTGAGTTATAACAGCCCTGGTCTCTGCTACAGGCGTGGGGAAAAGTGGATGTAAAGATGTCTGGAGGAAAGGGACTCGGTGGTGCTGCCCTACAGCCAGCTGAACAGCCAGCGGTGTGCCCAGGTGGCCAAGAAGGCCAGTGGCATCTTGACTTGCGTCAGCAATAGAGTGGCCAACAGGACCAGGGAAGTTATTTTCTTGTGCTCAGCACTTGTGAGGCCGCACCTGCAATCTTGTGTTCAGTTTTGGGCCCCTCGCTGCAAAGAGGACATTGAGGTGCTGGGGCAAGTCCAGAGAAGTGCAATGAGGCTTGAGAAGGATCTGGAGCACAAGTCCTATGAGGAGTGGCTGAGGGAGCTGGTGTTTATCTTGTAGAAAAGGAGGTTCAGGTGGGACCTCATTGCTCTCTAGAATTACTCAGGAGGAGGTTGCAGTGAGGTGGGGGTTGCTCTGCCACATCCCGAGTGAAACGACAAGAGGAAATGGCCTTAAGTTGTACCAGGGAAAGTTCAGATTAGATACTAGAAAAAATTTTTTTTCACTGAAGAGTGGTTAGGCATTGGAATAAGTTGTCCAGGGAGGTGGTGGAGTTGCCGTTGGAAATGTTCAAGAGGTGTCTGAATATGTGGCATGTGGGGATATGGTGTAGGTTTGATTATGGTGGTGCTGAGTTGACAGTTGGACTAGATAGTCTTGAAGGTGTCTTCCCACCGTGATGATTCTGTGATTCTGTAAATATATTCTGGATGTATCTAAAGAAAAAGTTGTGAAAGTTAGAATATGTGCATCGTATGTTGACTTGACCTTCATGGGACTTGATGGGTTTTTTTCCTCTCCCTCCCCCATTACAGTTAAACTTTTAAAAATTTTGATAGTGGAGTAAAATACTCTCAATTTTCATTGCCTTTTTTTTTTTCTTCATTTAAAGTAGCAGGAGTGATGCAATATCTGATAATGGCGAGACGGCTAATAGTCAAATACTTCAAGGAGAAACAAGGTAGGCTGCTTATTTCTCTATAGCTGTTACTAAAATAGATCCAGATAGTCACAGTCAGCTTCTACTGACTTATAAACAAAAACCAGAAACCCCCCACACAAACACCTTCAACAAGTTGTTTTAAAAAAATCCTGTAGTTTCTCCTACATTTGCATGTATACGTTAGAAATTGGGTTTTTCAGTACTTTCTGGAAGGATTTACACTACAAGATGTTATCAGAAAGTAAGAACAGGGTGTAGCTGCAATTGGAACAAAAGAATTTTCTGAAGTCCAAATCTCAGAAGAATGCACTTAGGCATACAAATTATAAATATGCCTTAAAATTACAATTTGGAAGTAGCACTGGAGCTGCATTAGGTCTGCTGCTGTGTCAGTGAGGATGTGGAGGGTTTTTTGTTGCTTTTATCAAAACAAGGGAGGACAATTAGGAGATAACAGATGAATTAAGCTTTTGGTAACACTGCTTCTAAAACTCTGTTTTCTTTTTAATACTCTGTATTTCTGTTTACAGTGGACACCCAACCTTCAAATGCCCCCTGTGTCAGGAAGCCAATTTTACCAGACAGCGCTTGCTGGATCACTGTAATAACAGACATCTTTATCAGATGGTTCCTGTGGTAAGTAGAGTTGCTTATGTATGTTTCCTAAGCTACTTTCATTATAATTATGTGGACAATTTTATATGTGCAGTAGCTACTCTATATTTGTAACATCACTGTGGTCTGAAAAAAAACCAATATACTTCATGTAGTGCATTTTTCTTGAGGAGTGACTTTCACTTTGAAAACATTTCATGTCCAGCCTGCTGGTCCTAAAGCATTTCTGACCTGGCTGTCTCATTTATCTTGATGTGAAACAAGTTCAGTTTTTGAGCCTGATGCTTAGCTCTTCTTAATTTAGTATTTCAGATCTGTTTCTATAGAATCCCATTTGTAACGTAACTATATTGCTTCATGTGAAACCTACCGTTACTTGAAAAGTAATCTAAGGTGTAATCAAAGGGTCTTGAAGGAAAAAAATCTGTTTGGTTTTCTACTTGATGAGCTCACTTGTATGAAAATTCTCACACACAGTAAGTAGGATGCAGTAATCACTTTCTAAATTGACTGAATGTCAGACGGACATTGTAATCTCCCATTCGGAAGAGAAACGCTTTAGAAATCCAGCAAGTTGAAACGTAGGTTTTGAATGTTGCACAGTTGAGGAAAAGCACTTGAGAACTGTGATTTGTTGTTAACGTCTCTACTGTATTTTGGTAGTGGATGAGTAATAAACTAGTTATTCTTGTAGAGCATGTCTTTAATGCATTCTGTATTACCAATAACACCTTTTTTTTTTTTTTTACTGTCTCTTTCCCCTCCTCCTCCCAATACAGATCTGCCCTATTTGTGTATCTCTTCCTTGGGCAGATACTAATCAGGTTACTAGAAATCTTGTTGGCCATCTAAATCTAAGACACCGGTTTGATTATGGAGAATTTGTGGTAAGCTTTCTCGTCTTTGATGTGTGGGGGAATAAATGGTAACTTTTTTTTTCTATAAATAAAAATGCCAAATAAAAAATTTGTACCAAACTTGTGCTCTGGACATGCTATGTTCCTGCTCTGTATGGAACTCAGAAGTAGCCTGTCTGTTCTTAGACTTTCTGTTATCAGCATGAAGTGCTACTGGGAATAGTCAAAATGCCCCAAACTGACTTAAACCTTTAGTGTAGTGTTCTCAGTCTGGACTGTTTATTAGAACAGTTGATTACTGCTGTTTCTAGGGGAAGTAAAATAGATACTACTCTGCTTTATTGACATTATTGACCTTTTATGGAAGAAATTGCTAAATCATAATTTCACGACTCGAAGTGTAGCTTGACTAGCTGATATTGCTGCTACACCCTCTCTTCTGGTATGTTGGGAGAGAGACTGAAAAAGGTGTGTCATGAAGTTGGTGTTCAGGTTGCCTCCTTTCAGGCTGGCTTTGAGTAAATGACCTTGGAGTAGCGGCAGAATTACATACACAGATGTAGTCAGTGGGTGGTTCATAAGTCAAGCTGACCTGTTGGTTCTGCATGCGGGTTCAGAGAGCTGGAGAGTTTGAGTTGGAGTTTCTGTAGAGTTTGACGGGCTTTGCTCCTTAAGCTTTGTGTGGGACAGGCCTAGTATTTGAGGCAGAAGCAGCCCTAATGGTTCAAGATGGCAAAGATGATGTGTAATTGTTCTCTGAGTTGAGTGATTGATGATAAAAGCATGAAGAGCTAGGAGTTTGATACAGGCAGTTGGGCTCTTCACTGTGAGTCCATCTTGCATGTTTGACGATGTAAAATTGGTGATAGGAATTCTGATTCGGGGAAACTGCCAGGATTGCACTAAAAAGATGTATTACTGTGGCAATTAAGAACCTGTAAGATAGGTTGGCAAAAGTAGCAGGATTAACCCCACATCTTTTGTGATGTGTGTTTGCTGTCTCATTTCAAGCAGTATATTCTCAAGAATCTATGATTACTGTTGTCTGGTGATCACATTTTGTTTTCATTAATGGAGAATGTTATGGCTGGTTAGAAGTCCTGTTATAAAAATTGCATGACACAGTCAGCTTTCCTGAGCTGGCTGTTCCATAATGGAGTTGAGCTAGGGAGAGAAGATGGACCCTTCTGCTTAATGAACCTTGTCCCACTCATCTGATTCTTCTCCTGTCTCAAGTGTCTCTTGGTATTTGGTTCAATAAAAGATACTGTGCAACAGAAACAATCATGTAGTACACATGAAGATGAAGAGTCTTCATCTAGGTGCCAATTCCTATGTAAAAATGTGGAAGAGGAATTATTAAACTAATGATTGTGGGACATCTTGAGTATTTGTCCATTTTGATGATGTTTTTATTTTGTTTAGAATCTTCAGCTTGATGAAGAAGCCCAGTACCAAAATGCAGTTCAGGAATCCTGTCATGTGAACTTTTAAAGCAGAGCCCCTTCCATCTTACTGATTATCTGCGAGAAAAATTACTTCTGTTGGTGATCTGAGTGTATATTAATAAAAACGGTATTCAGTAACTACTTTTTGGGCTAAACCTTTTTTCACACTCACAAGGACTTTTGATAAATGATTTTGCTGAAACTCAAGCTTGACATCTTTACTGCGATCTGTCCCTGTGGAATTAGGGACCTTTTTGGAACTTCTCACTCTTGTCTTGATTTTCTCTAACCTTTACTACTCTGTTAATTACATAGTTTCTATGATTAATGTAGGATATTTTAATTCACCAAAAACAACTTTAGAAAGACATCAAGGATGCTCTGTTGCACTGTTGAGTTTGTTTAAGTTCAGCTGTCTTCTAAGGTATCTATGAGATAATAATTTATTTTTTTTCTTTTCCTGCCAAGGACAAATTTTATTTGATGTTGTGATTAATTTTTTACTGTTGCTATGTGACTGAAAATAACAACAGCTTAAAAAATGAATATATTTCTTTTCTACAGATCAACAATGCAGGGTAGGGCTTCTTTCACCTTTCATTGAGAAAGAATGATGCCATTGCCTATGAATAATTACATCTATTTTTTCCACTTTTGGAGCATAACTGAAATAGAATGCTTGCTTACTTATGTGATGAGTGTGGAGTAGTCCTAATACTCCCAACTGCTAAGGAAGATGACATATTTTCTGAGCGATTTTGATGACATAATTTCTGAGCAAAGATGACATGCAAAAGTTATACTCTTTTGGCCTCTGACTGTGATCAGATAGTTTTTCATTTTGTTGGAGCTTTTAAAGAACTCCTGTTGTTGCATTTGGAATTGAATTTTTGGTCTGTCCTGTCTTTCATGGAAGGCTGTGTAGCTCAATAACTAATTGGCTTCACACCTACCAACACTCAGAAACAAACTTGTTTATTTTGGTAAAGCTGTTTAAAACTTGTACATCTCCTGCATCCAAAGGCTTGAAAAAACAGTGGAGAATACTTGCTCTAAAATAGTTACCAACATAGTTTAAGAGTTCCTATTTTAAATTTCCATGTTCCCAGCAAGACCATTGTTAAAATCAGAGAAAATAGAGCAATAATGCAATTTTGAATTTAAATGGAAAATTGATTTGTAAAAGAGTTTTAAGATCTTTTGTTTAATACTAAAGGGGAGGAGGGGAATGAAGGCTGCAAAACATACATTGTGGAGGTATAAGCAGAGACTGTTCTGAATATATACCATTTAGGTATAGGACTCCTCATCCTGTGTTGCCATCACCCATTGTCAAACAATTGTTCTTACTGAGTGTTGTATATGTGGTGGAAAACATCCCCAGTAATTTTCTTAGTCTAGTTAGTGATTTATGTGTAGTAATCAGTCGTGCAGCCAAAGTACAAACTGTTTCTTATGCCCTGCCTCCCATTTTGGGCTCCATACAGAGGTTTTGATTATTCTTTAAATGCTGGGATATTTCATATTCCAAAACTGGTAATGTTGAAATGCCTCATTCTGCAATGTAATGGGTTTTACAACTGAATCTTAGTTCTACTTTATTGAGTGTTGGAACTAAACCACTATACATTGTAACTTGACTTCTCTAGCTTTAAATTTTTAAGAGTGTAAAACATTCCTGAAGGCATTGCTGGCTAAAATACAGAGAAAGTTGTCCATTTCAGAAACTTTTTGTAAGAAACTGAAATTTCTTGCATTTTGTTACCCTCTCACTGCAGTATTTTGACAGCAGACCACACTTTCATCTTGTATTCCAACTTCCTATTTCCCCCCATACTCTTGTCTGTGTATTCTCATGTATCTGTCAGCTCTAGTGCTTGTGTGACCACTTGAAGTGGTTCACTGATCCAACAGGAAAGATTATTTAGACTTTTTCTTTTGCTCTGTAAAGCCAACTATGAGACAGTGCCTGTTAGATAGAAATGAAGTTCAAGGTAGCCTGATGCTAAAGTTTTACCTTTTTTGAAATAAAAATACATACTGTGGTGATTTATTACTGCATACATTTCCTAAGGAGTTTAACTGTTACATATAAGTTTAGTTAATGTTTTTAGTTTCTATAAAATATTTATATGATCTGGCAATAAATGCCTACAGCCAATACAGATTCTGAATGCCTCATGGACACTGGAACTAGTTATTTCTATTACTTGAACATATCTTGAGAATTGCAAATGTTTTAAATCTCTTTTAAAACTCTGGGAAGCAATTTTTTATAGCAATAATTAGTTGTCACTTGATGAGTACTTGCTGAGCATTTTAGTCATGTTTAAATGTTGAGAGACTTAAATACACATTTTAAAGCAACAAATGTGTATTAATGCAATATGAAGAAAAACCCTTGCAAAACGTTCATCCTCTTTATTTAAAATCTGTATTGGCAGGCGCAGCCTTGCTTAGGATTTTGTACTTTTAATATGAAGAGATTGCATCAAATACATTCACTAGGTAAGCGTTTAATGAAAATTAAACTATTTAAATATGTTGCTACCGGTCATGATCTTTCTCACTGAAACTCAGACACGCACAAAAGCTGTGTATTTGTGATGGGTGATGCTCAAAATATGCGATCTTTACTAGAAGATTGCTGTTAAACGATGTTTTCATGTTCACGTTGCATTATGTATGGTTTCAATATGTTATTATGTTTGAATTGTACCTTCTGTTTTTTCTCCTATTAAAGTATTTTATTTTCTGTTTGTCTTTTTGTTGCATAATAAAGATGATCAGTTCCCTTGGTGCTACTTCTTCCTTTTCAGCTGCTTTCTCAAACTTAAATATGTGGTCAGTTGTATGCCTTCACAATGTGAATTATTAGAATGGCGTGTGCCTCCTGGAACTAATGAGTTGTGACTCATCATCCATCTGTGAGCTGACAAGTTACCTCTGGTATTTCCAGAAAGCAAAAAAGAAGATAAGTTGTCCAAAATCTGCTTCTTGCTTCTTTTCTCCCTTCTGTGTTTGTATGTTGCTGTCTCATGTCATGTTAATAGAGGAATGACAAGAAATAGCAAAAGGAGAGAGAAAGAGGTATGTAGCACTCAGGTCATTAGTTAATCTTGTTATTTAAAGGTAGATTTACTGAGATGAGTTAATGCTTTTCTGAGGAAAGAGTTGTCAGTAAGTTTGGGCTGGTTGCAAGGTGGCAGCTAGATGTTTTATCCTTCTGCCCTCTGTTTTTGAGCTGAAAAACCCTTTGGTTACTTCTTGTGCTTTTACATTCTAAGGACATGCAGATGATAATACAGTTAGGAAATTGATTTAATGTGTTATTTTGAATGACAGAAGTGTAACAAAATTACATAAATTTTCTTTTTGTTAGTTTATTCTTTCCCCATAGAATCTAATTTTGTGATCTCTAAGTAAACCACTCTATCTCCGAAATCTGTTTATAAGCCCTTTGTTAGAGATTTCACTTTACTTTACTACAGCAATTCATATTTCATTACTTAGAGAGAATGCACTCCATGTGTTTAGTTCTCATTGACAGTATCTGAATTATAGGATACTTGAGCTCTGTAAAACTGCCCTTTGTCCTGCTCCAGTCTTAACCCAGGGCTTTATTCCCAGGGGAAGAGGGGGACTCTTGTGCACCCAGGTCATCTTCTGACAGGTAGTCAGGGCTAGAAGGTTTTCTGTCTTTGGGAAGCATTCCTGGGTCCCTCTTCTTAGATTTGGCTTTTCAGTATGGTGAGATTTGCATACGAGTGTCTGTGAGGACTCTGCTGTGAAAGAGTCTGGATAGTGTATTTTTTATATCCTTTGTTTTATGCAGAAACGGACACTGATTCATGGACACTGTTAAGAAATGTGCACTTTGCCATGTCTGGTGAACACTGTGCCATTTGTGAAATGACTGCAGAACCTGGCAGCCAGGGTTGGTTTACTGCAGACAAGAAGAGCTACAAGAATATCTGATAAACACATCTTCGGGTTTCTTCTACAACTGGAGGAACTAGCAATGAATGGGCACAAAAACTACTTGGTCTGTTCTCCGTGCAGCGTACATTTGCTTTAGAGATCAGGTTTCTTTTGTGTCCTGTTGTGGCTGTATTTGAAAACACGTAAGAGTCAAGATCATGGCTGCCTGCAATGAGAAGGCTTTTCAGTAATGTTAAAACTGCCCCTTCCCAGTGATTTACGAGACTCTTACTAGGGTCAAAGCATGGACTTCCTCCTTTCATGAATAAAGTAAGTCTGTACTGTTTCTTATATTTCTCAAACTCCACGTCTGCTTTGGGAAGGACCAGTTTTCACCTTTTGATTTTCCAGCTCTAACCAGTCTTATTCTATCTGTAACATTTTTTCCCCCTAGTCATGCATCTCTATTTTTATGGACATGATAAGGAAAGAACTAGGAAAATTAATTTTATGTTTATTCCCTCACCATTCTCCAAACTCTTAGGAAATCACATGGGGGAAGTCATCGCTGCCACATGCATTCTATGGGAAGTACTCAATTCTATTTTAAGTCTGTGCCTTAAGTACTCCATATACGTTTAGGATTCATTCCTCAGCTCTGTGAAACTGCAGGCTAATTCCCAGGGCTTAGAAACGGAGTACTGTTTTTATGGGGATGCCTAGTCACTGGGAAAAGTGCTCCTCACTATTACTTTACATTCTTTCTCTACTGTTGTGTTTCTGTCTCTTTCTTTCATAGCATGGTTCATGCTGGAAAAGGATCATCCAGTTCCAACCCCCTGCCATGGGCAGGGACACCTTCCACTGGACCAGGTTGCTCAGAGCTGCATCCAACTTGGCCTTGAACACTTGCAGGGATGGGGCATCCACGGCTTCACTGGGCAACTTGTTCCTGTATATCACCACCTGTTTTCCTCTCTGTGCATTTCCCTACAGCAGTTCTCCTAAATTTACACTGTGTTTCCCTCCCACTGCCTTTTTTTGTCTTTTAAAGCAGTCAGCAATTAAACTGCTATGATTGTATTACTTGGATACTAATTATTGTTTCATATTTATAAACTACTCTGGCTGTGCCCTTAATATGGGGCTGGTGTGGGCCTCAGGGGTAAATACAGTAACTAAGATGCTTAGCACCAATAATTTCCAGAGTTCTCCAGACA